CAATGGCACTTGCCTGACAAGCAAGGTACAGACAGATTTTTCCTGAAATCCTTATTTTTTTCTCAACAAAATTATTGGGCAGGTTTCCCAAGGGACCAAAGGCGAGAACGATCTTGGCATGTAACTATGGTTAAACAGTGCCATCGCTTGAGATCATGATGTTGAGAAACTTAAATAGGTCGACTGGCAGTACCGTTTTGCATCTCTGTTCATTCAGGTTTTACGTATTAGTTATAGTTATGACGTTGAACTTTTGGGAGTAAAGGTAGGAATTGGATTTCGCAGCTGACAGGCTCGCTGCCAATACTACTCATAAAGACAATATCTACCTACTCCAGATCAGCAGGATATCTCGCCAAACATCTTGAACTGCTCGATCCTCTTGAACTGCTCGATCCCTTTAGCATGAGGCCTTCGGCTTTGTCAAGGTCAGTCCTATTTCGGATGAAAAGGTTCAAAAGGTTCAAAACATTGTTGAATAGCAGGTGAATGACGTGTAAGCGTATCTCTCTGGCGAACTCTACAGTTAAGAACCATGCAAATATCTCTTCTTCATGCTAACACTACAAGCCTTAGAGCCATGGAAATTAGTAAAGCAATTCAATTGAAATTGACATTACAATGGCGGAAATCGCCATATTATAATGTAACTTAATTGTTGACTGAACTATCATCCAGTTTCATTTTTTACTGTTTGACCGTTTTAGCAAATTTTTTATGGTTTCTTTTATAACTTGAACGGCTTCCTTTTGTATATCTTGTATATCTTTCTCTTACTCTTGTATATCTTTCTCTGAGGTACTTTGTATAACGGGATTTGTGTAAGAGTCTAATTCTGTTCTTCAGTTATTGTTGAAAGGCCATATTTAAAGAGATTTGAACTAATTTCCTTCTACTTTCTCCTCATTGACCAGACTGGACTCTGTACATTACTTGAAATTGTCGCTTCTTTCTGTAGTCCTTGAACACAAAAAATATTGCTCACAGTGAGTGTCCTGTGCACATCGTTGAACATGTTGGGTCCCTTTATATATATTATTTTTTTTATAACGGAGTCATTAATGAACAATATACTCTTTTCCCTGAAATTCAGCCACCGTTGTTTCACTTCGCTTCTTGTCACTGTGGTCGGTCTTTTAATACACTGCAGATATGTTACTTTTCCCAGTACAATTTTTTTCTGTACATTCTGCAACACTATGCGTCTGTTGTTCCGGCCCGCTCATGTTTCTGATTCGTAGAAATGGCAGCGCAGAAGAACAAATTAATTATTACTTTCCTCAGTCGTAAAGCTAACCATTTGTCATTTCAGTGGTGCCTGTTCCTAAATAGAAAGAAGAATTTGGTATCTTTTTTCGAACGTATGCAGAAGTACCAGTTTGAAGTTTTGAGGGAGGGATCTTCTGACGAATTCTCTGAGTCAATGAA